CGAAATTAGACACGCTAGACGAGATAAAAGAACGCATTCTTTGCGTCGAGAGAGATATGGGGCACATGAAGGACTCAATCGAATTTGCCCATGCAGAATTACGGGAATTAAAAGAAGAAGCCGATAAGTCCAAAAGAACCAACGATCTTAACGCACAGAAACTATGCGAGCTAGAAGATTCAAACCGTCGTCTACAAGAGAGCGTCATTGATCTCAAAGCACGATCCATGCGGGATAACTTGCTTTTCTTCAATGTCAACGAAGACGAGAGAGAAAACACGACGGAGAAGATTTACGAAATCTTAGAAAGAAATCTAGAGATTCCCAATGCCAGAGACACAATAAAAATTGATCGTTCTCACCGAATCGGAAGGAAACGCGAGGGCCAACGCAAGCCTAGAGCAATAGTTGTCAAATTTAACTTTCACCAAGATCGAATAAGATTAAACGCCAGAAAGCTCAGGGGAACGCGTATTGGAATCGCGGAGCAGTTTCCCGAAGAAATTGAGAAAATTCGCCAAACCTTATACCCTGAGTTAAAGAAGGCTAAAGCGCAAGGACACAGAGTGCGTATGGTACGGGATAAATTATACATAAACAATGTTGAGTTCAAACCTTCAACTCATAATTAACATTACCATCTTTTCCTATTTTAACATATATAAATAGACGCTATGGCTACTCTAAAATTAGGTAAGAAATATTGTTCTTCTTGTTTCCTTAAAATAAGTATGGATCAAAAAAGCATTAATTGTCTGACATGCGGGGGATGGTTTCATGCTCGCACCGCATGCATGAAATCACCTGTCACATGTCAACAAACGGAAATCGATATATGCAACATGTGCTTAAGCTGTTCGCTTCCTTTTCACTCAATTGATGATTTAGAATTCCATTTTATTTTTGGCGATTTCAGTCGAGTTCCAAGTGATGAGTTTATGGATAGATTAACGCAACTCAAGTTTAATCCTTTTCACATTAATAATAATAACATTGCAAACGCTCAACACTTTGAGAATTATATGCCGGAAAATCTTGATGATTTGACATGCAATTATTACCTACCAAACGACTTTGCTATGAGTAATATTACTGATAACAAAAATCTGTCGATACTAAACCTTAATGTAAGAAGTATAGCTAATAAGTTTGACTCGTTTAGGAATCTTCTAAGTACTTTGAAACAACCTTTTTCTATAATTAGCCTAACTGAAACTTGGCTAAATGACCAAAACAGTGAAAATTTCCGTCTTACTAATTTTGATTTTGTTTGCTCAAACAGAGCTAATAAAAAGGGCGGTGGAGTAGGAATTTTTATCTCAAATAATTTAAACTACAAACTACGAACTGACCTAAATATAAACAAAGACGAAATAGTTGAATCACTTTTCATTGAAATTATTTCAACAACTGGTAAAAATATAATTGTTGGTACTATCTACAGACCGCCAAGTGGTAATTTTGAAATGTTTGAAAATAAACTAAATGCAATACTAACCGAAGTTGACAAAACAGGGAAAATAACATATTTGACAGGGGATTTTAACATTGATCTTTTGAAATCTGATGATTGCGATTATTCCAATAGATTTTGTGAGCAACTTTTTACTTCATCTTTTTATCCGCTGATAAATAGACCAACTAGAATTACGCAGCATACAGCCACGTTAATTGATAATATCTTTACAAACAATCTTGAACAAATAGAATCTGGTGGAAATGGACTAATTTTCTCAGATATTTCAGATCATCTCCCCATATTTCATATAGCTTCTTCATCCACAAATAAAAATAATACAAAAAGAGGAAATGAACATTATAGAAGAATGGTCGACAAAGATAATCTTGCTTCGTTTTCATTATCTGTGAAAAATATATCGTGGGAAAGTACTTTCGAAACCAATGACCCTTGTGAATCCTATACGAATTTTCACAATAATTTGAAGGTAGCAATTGATAAATGTTTTCCTTTAGCAAAAATAAAAAAGAAAACTGTGGATCACACAAAAAGTCCCTGGATGACAATTGGTATATTTAAATCTATATCAAAGAAAAATAAACTCTATAAAAATTTTCTAAAAAAGTCATCTTATAGAAATGAGACAGCCTATAAAAAATACAAAAACAAACTGAATCACGTAATAAAAACCGCAAAAAAGGCCTATTATGAAACACAATTTCTTAAGTATAAAAATGATATTAAAAAGACATGGCAAACTATTAACGAAGTTCTTAACAGAAATAAAACTAGATCAAAACTACCCGATACTTTTTTACAGAAGAATTCAAATAATGTTTCAAATCCTCTGGAAATTGCTAACAAATTTAACGAATATGTTTGCGATGTTACTCTGAGTGCATATCCACACCGGGCGAGCCCGAAAAATATGCCCGGCCACGGCGGGACTCGAACCCACGACCCTTGGAATACTAGCCCAATGCTCTTTCAACTGAGCTACGCGGTCAGGACGGTTCGTGTAAGCGATATTTCGGAACAGTATCTAGTTCCTTCAATACCAATGTGTTCTAGTAATATGAATTTTTCTGTGTTGGTGTTGTGTACTCAGGTGAATAATATGTTTGCGATGTTACTCTGAGTGCATATCCACACCGGGCGAGCCCGAAAAATATGCCCGGCCACGGCGGGACTCGAACCCACGACCCTTGGAATACTAGCCCAATGCTCTTTCAACTGAGCTACGCGGTCAGGACGGTTCGTGTAAGCGATATTTCGGAACAGTATCTAGTTCCTTCAATACCAATGTGTTCTAGTAATATGAATTTTTCTGTGTTGGTGTTGTGTACTCAGGTGAATAATATGTTTGCGATGTTACTCTGAGTGCATATCCACACCGGGCGAGCTTGAAAAATATGCCCGGCCATGGTGGGATTCGAACCTACGACCTTTGGAATACTAGCCCAATGCTCTTCCAACCGAGCTACGCGGTCAGGACGGTTCGAGTAAGTGATATTTCGGAACAGAATCTAGTTCCTTCGATACCAATGTATTCTAGTAATATGAATTTTTCTGTGTTGGTGTAGTGTACTCAGGTGAATATGATATTTGTGGTGTTGCTCTGAGTGTATATCCACACCGGGCGAGCTTGAAAAATATGCCCGGCCACGGTGGGATTCGAACCTACGACCTTTGGAATACTAGCCCAATGCTCTTCCAACTGAGCTACGCGGTCAGGACGGTTCGAGTAAGTGACATTTCGGAACAGTATCTAGTTCCTTCAATACCAATGTGTTCTAGTAATATGAATTTTTTTCTGTGTTGGTGTTGTGTACTCAGGTGAATAATATGTTTGCGATGTTACTCTGAGTGCATATCCACACCGGGCGAGCTTGAAAAATATGCCCGACCACGGTGGATTCGAACCTACGA